AAAAAAATCGATACCGAAGGACTCCTACCCAAAAGTACTCGATACTTTCCAACACTAGTAATTTGATTCTACATACTAACTCTACTTTAGTATTTGATTTCATTTTTTAACAAATTTTTTAGTTCAGTTGATTTTTGGCCTTAATAAATTTAAAACTATTTTGTAAATGAACTTCGTTTCTTTAATAATAGTACTTAAAAAAACTTATTACTTCAAACTAATAAATAGCTTAAGCTTTAATATTTGCAATTTATTGATGACTAAATTTTCTCTCTTTCTATTATCCTCTCTTCTATTCGTATCTATTTAAACTAATTGCTTTCATTGGATTTGGATGAACTTCATAGATCATGCGTAAAAAGCAGACTACTTACTAATTTACGAGTAAATGAACAAACAAATAAAATTAACGAAAATGGTAATTTTGAGTAACTTAATTAAGCACGAATAATCAAATACGATATACGAAGTTGCATACAAATACAAAAAAAAAATTTAAATTTTTAATAACTATGAAAAGCTATTTAAAGTTTTCTAAAGATTTTGAAAGCTCTCTCTTATGGTCAATCATGTAGACACGAAAATGTCAAAAGCTCTCTTCATAGTAGCTGTCACTGATATTTTATAAAAAGGTAAAAAAAGTCTGTGCTCGATAAAGCTTTTACTCCGAGCTTATGAAACTAAAGTCAATCAGACAGGTTCTGCAACTCACTTTCGAGTGAATTTTAACCCCTGCCAATTTGAATTCAAAGCGAATTCGACCCATCCTCTATCTCGTTGTTTTTTCGGGGACCGCGAACTAAAGGTATAATCGTAACTAAATGTCGTTCTAGTAGTTCTGTTCCCAAGAACGCTTAAAACCCTAAACGGAAATGAGAACATCAGGAAGTGTTTTCACAAGAGCGTAAGTGAGAACAAAACTGTCGAGAACGTTCTCAATGGGAATTATATAAGAACAAAACCTGTGGATCGTTCCCAAAGGGAACAAAATGCGAACAATACTTTCGGGAACATTTCTAAGAGAACACTATGTGAACAAAAGTCTCCGGAACGTTCTGGAAAAGAACAAATAAACGTCTAAGGAACACTCTCTTGAAGAACAGTTTGTATACTAACCGGTCAGGAACTTTCTGACAGAGAACGAAGCGGGAACAAATCTTCTCTTAACTATTCGCAATGAATGGAAGCGCGAACAAAACTTTTCTCATAGCGTTGCATTAGTTTGAATCGTTTGAATATTAAAATTAATCAAAAACTTAGTTAAAGATAATCATGCAAATTATGTCAACGAAAGACTTAAGATACGGACGTTTCATGCGCCCTAATAATAAACGGTCTTGAAGTTGAAATGATCTAGCTTACCTCTGGCTTATAATTAAGAATGGGCTTTTCATCCCGATGCCTCTCTCATTCTTAATGTTAAGTTCTAAAAACTTGTGTTCTCTACCAGAAGGTTCCCCTGACTTAGTCCTCCTACAACTCTGAGAACTAAATGAAAATATTTTCAATCTGAAACATTCTCGAATGTTTCGTCCTCATTCTGTTCTTCTTGTGAACGTTTTGGAGAGTTTTGGACTCATTTTGTTCCTTTTGAGAACATTCCCCTGAGTTTTTCTTGCATTTTGCTCTTCACCGAAACGTTCCCGAACCTTTTGGTCTCGTTTAAGCTACTCTCTATACTTTATTTCAAGTTTGGTTCCTTTGCGGGAACGTTCTTTACATTACACTTGGTTCTCCTGCAGAACTAAACCAACGCGGAACGCGTTCTCGGTCCCTGTTTGTTTTATTATAAATGAAATATGCTTTTCATTACAACTTTGTTATTGCATTCTATTTTCTTTTGTTACAAATTCACTAACGATTTCCACAATTTTTCAGCCGCTGAAATTGGACGCGCCGTTGAAGAACTGGTGACCGTAATTACCGAACAAGAAATCGAACAAACGCAACAACGTCAACGAGGTGATCACGATGGGTTGGACGATGATGGTGATGATGATGATGATGATGAGGATAGTTTGAGTGTAGCGACAGCGATAACTGCTAAAACAATCATAAAACCTTTAACGACAACAACAAAAACCAACGCAACAACCACCAATACAACTGCAACGATATTAAATTAAGATTATTTAGGAAAACAATTGGAAATTAGTAACATATTGGAAAAAAGCATGCTTACAAAGAATAATTAGAAGGAAATTAAAAAAAGCGAGAGAAGAAAAAAAATTAAAATGTTAAAGCAAAAGAAGTTTCAACGATAAGCAGACAGAGAGAAATAATCGCTGGATTGGAGAGCATGCAAGAAAATTATGAAAGTAAACTTTTAACGAAAACAAAAGCAACAGAGCTTCGAGGAAGAGGAGAGAAAATATTTGTGGTACTACAATACAGCATTGATGGAAAGATAGAACGGAATAAAAAGTATGCGTGTTTGACAGTACTACAAATCAGTAAAGGGGGTACGATTAATCGGCGAGATTTTTGGAGATTTCGCTGTTAGAACTTTAGTTCAGCTAATTGTGTGATGCGTGCAGCAAATAAAAAAAGTAGTATAGTAAAGTTTGATATATCATTGCAGAAGCAGCTAAATTCTTATTTAGTATTAGTTGAAAAAAAAACTTGAAAATTATTATAAACGGCAAATGCAGAAAATTTAATTTAGTTACGAGGATAAAGTTAAAAACACTTGATAAAAAATATACAAAATCTAAAAGCACAAAGCTACAAACATAATCAGCTACTTATTGGCGTACATACACATATGCATTTACGAATGAGAATAGCAGTGAAACGAATGCAAAAAAAAACAATTCAATTGCGTTTAAAGGCTAAACTAGCTTAATTGAATTGAGTTGAGAAATGAGTGATTACTTAAAGCTTTCATAAGCAAAACGAACAGCTTAAAACGATGATTGTCTGCTAAAAGGTTTATATGTTAGAATAAATTAGAAATCCAAACAAAAAATAAATAAATAAAAATTAAAAACATTCAAAAGCTGCAGAAAACCAATTTATGTCGACAAAAAAACTATCGAAAGCTTGTGAATATCGGCTACAATCGAAAGCGCTCCAGTATGATGCAGCACGTAGCTTTTTTGGAGCTGTCATTGCCCCAAAAAGCTTTCATGGCTTTTTTTTCCAATAAAATAATAGAAACAAAAATGTATATTTTAGATTTACGACTTATTTTAGAAAACATGCAATGTGCATAATAATTCTTAATTACTTAATTTGTTTAAAATATTACGTAAGCTCCGAAAAACAAGGATAACAAAAAAAAAGCATGTCTAAAAAATTATAAATTAATATTAAACATATCACGAATTAAACGAAAAAGCTACTTAAATATAAAGTTACGCCAGCAAGAAAGTACATAATTTTTTTTTCAGAAAAAAATAAAACTAAAATACAATAAAAAATGTGAAACAGAAAATGTGAAAAAATTAAAGAAAACTTTATATATTAAATAGATGTGCGCGCACTAAAGTAATGCTTTGTAATTTTATATATATAAACGAAATATTAAATTTTTATAAAGTATGTATTCATGTAAGCGATTTTTTGTTTTTGTAAATTTAAATTCCATGCTTTCTATTGAAATTATTTAGCAGCAACAGAAGCAGTACTATAAATGCTTAAAATGTAACTTGAATTTATTTTTAAAAAACAGCAATATACATACACACGCATAGCAAATTTAAGTTTTTACAAAGCAGAATATTTCAAAAGTAAAAAAAATCCTGTATTTCAAAAAAAAAAGTTTCAAATAGTTTTTCAAATATCCCCACACATAATTTTGTATTTAATTTTTGGCTAAGCTTTTAGTCTAACTATCAAAAAAAGTGTTTTGCGAAACGCTTTGCTTCGATGTACACTTCCACTTTCACCTTCACTTGCAATCTGTATATTTTGTACTTTCAAACAGCAACGTTTTTAAATTATGTATGCAAAGCAATTATAGTTTAAGTTGCAATTTATGATTTAGTTTATAAGTTTTATTTCTGTTTTTTCTTTTCAATAAAAATTATGTATTTTCATATAATGATTTTACGAAATTTTTGCTGTTGTTTTTATTTTTGTATTATTTTTGGTTTCCACGGCACGAAACTTCGGAACACTCACATCGACCGACTTGAGGTGCTACAGTTTTTTTTTTGTGGAATATTTTGCTGAACTGTCGTAAAACGGGATCAAAAGTCCCGTCCCAAAAGTCGTTTAGTTTTTACGTCCGCACATGGGACCGTGGCTATATTCGTTACATATCTTTCTGAGTTCACACCACTGGCACATTGCAGACATGATATTAGCACCTTCTTCAAGGCGGCCTCATATGGGTCCCGGTTCAAAGGGATATTGAAGTAAATTGCAGAGCCGATGAGCTAGCCAGGAAAGGTACCAATCTTTCACCGTGAGAAAACAGAGGTAGAGAATGGGATACCCATGGCAACCTGCAAATTAAGGATTAGAAATAATAGTATTCAAGAGGTGAATAGGTATTGTTAGATGAGGGCACTCGTACAACAACTAGGCAATCATGGCTGCAAAATGATAAGAAAAAAAACAGAAGAACTCAAGAGAGGACATTTTGTTGGGCATGGCTTGTGTAACCGGTCATGCGTCCCGTGAATATTGCAGAATTCGCAGAGATGAGGAAGAAAAAGGAAAAGCTGAACACTTCTTCTGTAGCTGCCCAGCTTTAGCTAAGAGCAGAGTGGACTTTCTAGGCAGGCACGTTTTTAGCTCACTTACAGAACTAGCTCAGCTTCATAAAAGCTTCAATATGGTTTTACTCTGGAATAGTCACTAAGGTTCTCGTGTTCATATTGGTATCACAATGGAGGCGCAAGATCTGACTGAGATGACCATCCGACCGACTGCCACATCAACCCAACCTTACCTAATATATATGCATGTTATATAGTAACATGCCAACCCCGTTCCAAAAACCCTAATCAACAAGTTTTTCGCTATTTATTTCTGTCGGAAAATATATCCTATAGACAAGTTCGAACCACACATTAATCTACGTCCCTAGTGTTGTATCGCACCAAAATCAGATTGAACTAGCCACTTACATATAGCCTAAAGAATTCCGAACCTTTAGTCTTGTTTTATTTTATTGCTTCTTCATCTTGATAACTGATACAAAAAGAATCAGTTGAGATTCCTAGTTATACGGCGTAAATACTAATCGCAATGGCCTTTCAGAACATCCACCTCTAGCTATAGCTGAGGCTTTGGAAGCGTAAGTAGCTACTTCGACCTCTCCGGATTAATCCGCGGCAATTACGCATATCCTAGTGTTAGCCTAGCGCTCGCTGGGCTTACACGAAACCCAACACTGCAAGAGCGTACCGCTGGAGAACCTGGTGATGACGTAACATTGTGCCTTTCCTTTCCACATCTTCAGTCACGCAGTTTGTGACCAGGAACCGAAAGTAGCCTTATTAGGTAGTGCTCCGGCGTGATTGGTAAAGGTCAGATATTCCCTTGCCGATTTCGAGAGCACTATTATAGCGTTCAAGGCCCTGATGGTCGCCTGACTATCCGGGTGTATGCTAACCTCCCTAACTGACATGTAGGATGTAGGTAGAAAAGGAGCTGCTGGGTGCCATTTCGGAGGCGAAGCAATCTGTCTGTTTAGGGACGAAGTCATTGTCCTTCATAACCACAAAGTGTCCAGCTTTCCAGCCAGTTAACCACCCGGTTTCCATGAGCCAAATAGCGCATCGTGCTGCGACAATTGGGCCTGCGAAATGTTCAACATGACGTTAAGCGCCAGTGTAGCTGTGGTTCTTAATGCCCCACCAGTGCCGATTAGGGCGATCCGCTGTACTCGCTCCAGTTGCTTTACAAGTGTAGCCTTCTACAAGTGTAGGGTACGTAAACCAAGATAGGCTTAACTATGGTTTCATAGAGCCAATGAATTTTGTTGAGTGAGAGATCCCACCTTTTACCAATAGCTCACATACAGCAGTACAAGACAACCGACGACTCTCTTACCCTTTCATCCCATGGACGACCTATTCCTAGCCAGGACCAAGCCTAAGTAATTGATCGTATCTTAGAGCTGCAGACGGACACCACCCATCGAGGGAAGGGCCACAACGGGGACTTTGTACTTCCTATTTAGTAAACAAGGCGAATTCCCTCTTGCTGGGATTTACTGCAAGGTCGCAGTTGACCGCCCACCCATTTACCTGGTTCAGGTAGTCTCGAGTGAGATAAAAAGGGTATCACCATCATCTGCATAGGCGATCACCCGACAGCACACTTTTTCCAGTTCCTCGAGAAGAAAAAACATTGACATTTAATCCAGGCTCCATGTGAAATGACCTGTGGGAAAAAACGTCAGTTCATTTTTGTTGTAGATTTTCGAGTATTTTGACCTCTTGTTGCAGTGTTTATCATAATTTATATTCCTTTTTATGTAACTAGTACTTAAAATTTACCATTTACTTCGACGAGTTAGATTGCTTGGCTAAGATCCCGGTAGAAACCTCATATAGAGCAAGTAAATAACACCAACTCCTACTCGATTTATTCTTGCGGAAAATCATATTTTCTATCTACTTTCTCGTAATCCATTTAAATACCGTTCATCTCATCTGTGTTTAAGTTTAGCTTTTGCGATAGCTTCGCTACAATATTAAATAAGCAAATTTTTTAATACTTACTTACTTATTATTATTGTATTTTTTTTTTTTTTTGTGAAGCCGTAGTTAATTTTGTTTGTATACCCTGATATATATTCAACAGGAAAACATATATTTTAGAACAAAATTTTTATGGAAAACAAATTTAGTTTTGGTCTGCATAGTATTTATGTATGTAAATATAATAACAAAAGTTGGTTTGGAAGGGAAAAAAGCAAAAAGAAAAAAGTACTGCATCAGAAACGAAAACGATCATAAATGTACCACCTTTTTTACTTGAACTCATGATAGGATAAAATACTTACATATAATAGCCTTTTAAAATCTGAAAACTTAATAGCTTACCAATAAAGTCGTTCTAGGAACACAGTAAAGAGCTAAATACATAAATAATTGTAGAACTCAAACAATTTAGTAAGTAAATATAAATCAATAAATATCAATTGAATTCACGTCCACACTCCGAACCTAACCAGTAAAACCTATCGAACTTCTTAGATTACTTTCGAAATAACTTTTTTTTACTTAAGTCGCAAATCTAAATATGACAACCCTGTGAAGAATGCAAAAACAAAACTTTAAGCTCAGCAATCAAACCTCCAACACTGCTTTAAGAATATCAACTCCAAGTCTATACATATATATTTTTAAATAAATAGTTTTAAAGTAATACGACTAACTAAATAAAGACTTAAAATTACAAAATATAGTAAAGTGGAAAAAGTAATTTAAGGTGGCGATTTTCAAACGGATTCAAATTCCTTAGTTCAACTTGAGCGAGCAATGAAAAAGATTTATGGTTTAACGAAACTTTCATAAGGCAAACGTAGTATAAGAGATATGAATGAGCTTTTCATTACAAGCGAAAACTTGCCGACAATTAAATAAGCAATTTCGAAAGCTTACCTAGCTCAGTTTATACACATAAATATGACTGTCTTTAACTCATGCTACAAAAGCAAATTGTAGCTGAAAACGCAACAACACATAAAAAGCGAAAGTTTTGCTGGTCTTTTCGTGAGCAACCTCAGTTCTAATAAGTATATTTTCACTTAATCATATCTTAAAAAAAGCTTTAAGTATTTCAAGCTTTTTAAAAAATGTTTGAAAGCTTGCAAAAGCTACGTGAAAGCTCATAAAGACTATGTAAAAGCTTACTAAGTCCACGTGAAGTCTCATTAAGTCTATGTGAAAGCTCAAGTTTTAAAATCACATTTTTTCATTGGCATCGAAAAGACACTTAATCAAATCTTCATTGCACAATCTCGTCACTTTTACATACATATGTCCCATACGTGTCTATGTACATACTACATAATTAAGAAGAATCATATTTAAATAAAATCTTTGACAATATTGAAGTATTAAAAATGTTTGCATGTATACATACATAAAAGAAGTTAGAGTAAAATTCATTGAAATGTAAACTAGCATAATAAAGAAAAGGAAAATTCATTGTAAGATCATTATGAGTTAATGGAAGAACATGTGAATTTGTTTTATAACCAAATAAATAACATATCCAATATCCTAAAGGTACACTTCCTATAGCTCTTACATACATATCGGACGTTTAATAATATAGAGATGTAATTCAAAATTTACGTTTTTGAAGATTTCATCATGCATTTAATAAGCTTGATAAGTAGAATATGTTCAGTCTGACAGATAACCAAACTTCCCAAATATGGGAAGATATGTATCTTTCCATATGTTATTTTGTATACCAACTGTATGAATTGATAAAACTTTGATTGCGTTTTCCCACAAAATTTAAAATTTGAAATACTTCGTTACATTATTAAACGTGCGATATATACAGATATAATAAAAAAAAAATATACATATGTATGTGGGGCGTTCCATACCAAAATGGACGGTGTTCACACTTCAAGTGTTTGATTTGTTTCAAATTTTTAGGATAGATGGACAAACTTAAATAATAGATAAATATACGAAATTTGAGCTAGATTAATACATTTTTTAAAACTGTACAGCACAAAAACAAAAACAAATCGATTTAATAGATTTCCAAATATCTCGAGAACGGGCCGAGGAAAATTTGTAAAAAAGGCACGTACACATAACAAA